ACCTTTCAGTGTAACGCAATAAAAAATCATGAATATATATGTAAAAAGAGAATTGCAACAGGGACTGTTTATCAGACGGATGATGCCAAGGCAGAGCATACGGTAGAAATCCACCTTCGTTGGCTTAGGGTTTTCGGTCCTGGGGAAGACCAAAAGGTCTCCGGTAAGTAGTTTATGAACGACTTTGTGCCTGGAACCCGTGCAAATCCGTACAGGAGCGTGGAAATGCGTATTCATCCAGTAGCACAGAGTACTCCGTTTGCCTTGACAAAGTCGCCTTACGGCGAACTGATGGAGATGGCTTTACATGGAAAACATTTTCGGAGTTCTTTGTGTTTGAATTCAACAATGAACCGCATAGACACATTAGCAGTGGTCAAAACCCGCAGGTGGAATCACCGCAGGTCTTGATCTCGAATGTACTGGTCGCCGGAAGTCTGGGTGAGATAGGTTAGAACCTACAGGTAATATGAAACGAAACTCAGTAGTAATTTATGTCGCACGGCGGTTTGTGTGAAGGGGCACAATTCCCGTTGACCAGCACTCGTTATCGCCCTCAGTAACTAGTTAAAGCCTTTCCTGAGGGACGTATGAAGAATGCCTTGAGATGTGCACACGGAAGGATGTGTTCACGTGTCTTACACCAAACCGTCGTAAGAAGTGTTACGCGTTGTCGGTATGTCCCCGCGTCTGGGATCGAGAGTGGGAAATTGTGGGGGCACTAGTTGGGGGGATGTTGTGTTCAGTCAGTCTGGAGTTCATGCTGCTGTGGTTGAAGTTGGGGAGTGGTGTTGTCGGGGGGTTGAAATTGATTGAGTAAGTGTGGGGGCTCTCGTACACATTACCTGATGTAGCTACCAGTTTTTCCAAAGGGTACCTGTCTCACGCTGCTGCGAGCAAGAAAACACACGTTCTACCACCTGAAGTGTAAAACCACTCAGTTCGATTCTACACAGAAGTGTGCGCGAAAGAATGCCCTTCAGTTTGGCATGGGGTTCGATTGCCGGCAAATTTCCCATGATGACTTCGGTAGAAATGTCAACAGGAAATTGAAGAGACGTGAGTGGTTGGAAAGTAATGCACCTGTCACATACGAGCCCATAAATGCGCACACCAAAAGCGAGGATTAGAAGAATTCAAAGACAATAGCCAAGATGGGGAAACAAAACAATTCAGGACCTAGACAAAACTAATTTGAATCAAACTGCTCTTTCATTGCCTACAACGCTGTCATACTGCGATGGTAGAACACTTTATTCAGGCTTAACGGGGAACAGGGTACACTATCTAGACCATTAAATGTAAACTTTTCTTGCCGCTAGGGATACTGTTACCCGAGAAGTTCATCCTAGTTCCTTACATCCGAAACTTATACTTGTGGCGTTGCCAATAGTCATCTTACAAGCTATCGTTAGGCAAGCATGATGTGTTCATGTGATTTCATCGGAAGAACTATGTGCACCAGGATACTTCATCGACTTTCTCAGATGAAGCTCCGCTTACACTGTAAGCTGGGCGAGATGGCCCAAGTAGTTGGAGTGCGAATTTACTGACCGGAAGGTCCATGGCTCAAACCCGACCACTGCCTCTCGACTTCCTCTGTCTAGGTTTGAGCAACCTGGCAGTATCCGAGTCCTCGTGCAGCCTTTGGGTGGCGTGGCAGTTGGACACCTGAAGGGTGCTACAGCTGAACGTTTTCTACACTGTAAGCGAGGTCTGTGACAGAAACCCATGAATCATCCTCTAGCAAAAGTACATACTTTACACATATGTTTTCAGTTAGAGAATGAATACGCTTCATAAACAGAGTCTAACTGTCCGCTCAAAGTCGGTGTAAAGCCCATAAAAAGGAACGGCAATGGGAGAATTTCGTGTGCTAATGTGAGACCCTTTCAGCATATGACCGGTGTAACGGTGAGCGCTACTGACGGGGGCATGCGAGTAGTATGTTTTCTCATGAATTCGCTTCGCGTCTCTTGAAAAGTGGAATCTATTACGGAATTTGTGGAGTCGCATTTGCTTGAATTTGAGCAACAGTCAAGAATATCCAGGAGAGTTCAGGAAGACGCATTCAAGAAGATGCATATTCACCTTCTGTAAACAAGATGCATATGAAAGTTTTGCTTCCCTGTCCAATAGTCTGTAACTATTCACTTGGCGTTTTACAATAAATAACTCGGCAGCGAAGGCCTTCTTCGTTTCATCGGCAGCTGGTCGATTGTCTGGTGAGGTACGTTGTGATAGTTCGTGGGCACTTTTTATGACGCTCAAAAGCGACCACGGTCTTTCTTTCTTTCCCTTTGAGCTCGAGATAGCTCAAGGGTCAAGGCCCAGAATGTCCGTGGTTTGAATCCTGTCGGCTGATCCTATCTAGGTTCGGGCATTTTGGCAATATCTCAGACCTCGTGTTCCTTTTGGGTGACAAGGCAGCTAGACACTAAGCGGTACAACTGAACGGTCATTCTTGGAATACAAGCTACTCTGATCATGGACCGGTTACTCATCACAGTATCAAGATCGTCCACACACGGAAGGATGCACAGTAGCAAAACGATCCAGGAGAATCAACTCCAGTAAGTCCAACCACACCTTCCAAAAAAGACGGACTACTCCACTAGAGGGAGCAAAATACTCCACCCCGTGGTGGCTTCTCTTCGCGGGAGGGTGATATTCCCAGTAACTGTCATCTGTGGTCGGGTTTAGGTGTTACAACGATTTCAGAGATTAAACCATGCCAAGAAGACCAAAGGGGAGCAGCCGCTGAAGTGCAGGAATGTCCCTTCCGGTGCCTAGCCACCATGCTACCCGAAGGAAGCACGGGGGCTGGGATACTGTCAAGTTTCCCAAGCCAAGACGGTGGAAGTCGAGAGGCAGAGGTCGGGTTCGAATCACGGACCTTCCGATCAGTAAATTCGCGCTCTAACCACGTGAGCCATCCCGCCCCACTAAAAAGGATGGATCAGCTGAGAGCGGAGGTGTGTTGGCTACGCTCTTCTCTTATTATGGAGACATCGATGCTGCCTTTTCTCGAGGAAGAACAAGTCAGAGAGGGTTTGCTCCAAAAGAAACCACACATTCAGAACACCCAGTGGTTGCCAACAACCACCAGTACTTGTCCAGTGTGGTGTAAAAGTCTTGTCAACAGCCCCGTGTAGTCCAAACGTCGGTGAATTCGCCTCATTTATGGAGTCAATAAGAATTTCACTGAAGCTGAACGGTCATGAAGCTTGACTGGTCTGATCAGGGAACACTAGATGAACTCAAACCCGGTGTCTCCACAGGATAGCAGGCGTTGACTGGCTGCAGCCCTTTGGTCATGAAGTAGTGTGTAGGCGTGTGCTTGGAGGTGAATCAGAATCATTCAAGCAGCAGGACTCACCAATCAGATTTGTTGGATCATGCACTACACATGCCCAAATAACGCTTATCAAATAAAACAGTTTTAAACCCCAAACTTTTGTTGGCAAATGGTTCGTGAGGAACAGGTCATAACTTCACAATGAGAAATCGAAGTGGCTACTGGCATAACGAGTGCTGTAGGATCTTCGCACTTTCTTTGCTGGGGTCAGCGTGATTCTTATCGTACGGTGTTGGGAACAAGCAGTCCTGGACGAACTGTCTAGCTCAGGTTCGACCGTTGTTGTTTGGTGGGCCAATGCATGAATGAAGTTCAAAAGGGTGTTCGGTTCGTGTGTGATTGCTACTGATGGAGTCTTATTCCGATATGACAATCAGATGCGCTCAGCTCGTTGCTGTTCCCAGGTGTAGGTACCTTGTGCTTGATGGACTCTCGTAAAGACATAATGTTCCTTATCCTTCCACTTCTTTTCCATTGCTTACTGAGACATAGTTTCTCACGGTTGCATGGTAGTTTAGCTCCAGCGTTGATTATTACCCGCATCCCATGATAACCTTTCCAAGCACTGTCTTGCGGTTCAAACTTTCAGGGAGACTAAAGGGACGGGCCTAAACAGCGAAACTTCACACCCTTCCGGTGTCTAGCTGCAATGCCAACCGAAAGAGGCACGAGGCTGGGATGCTGTCAGGTTGCCCAAGCCTAGACAGAGGAATTCGAGAGGCAGATGTCGGGTTCGAACCACGGACCTTCCGGTCAGTAAATTCGCGCTCTAAGCAATTCAGCCATCTCACCCCGTCTTACGCCGAAACCTCCTAACGTAAACCCTGGTTCTGCATATTTAAACTCTTCGGGTGTCAGGCGGTTCAGAAGCAATCACCGGGGGTATACAATTTATTGGAGCTTCATTCAGCCTCACGATCAGACGCGCAAAGTAAACTCTATGAGATCGTTTCCATGCTGTGTTCACCGGACAGCTCGGGATGGGACTACATCGAAGTCTAAACAGAGATACGAATATCGCAGTACAGCAACTAAACGGAAGAGAGAGCAACGGATCATTTCCTTCTTGAAAAAGGCCAGAATTCTGACCTGATCGCCATGAATGGGTGGGTACCAGGGTGCAAAAAGTGTCCGATGCACTAGGAATTCACCGTTCGCACAAAAAAGGAGTATACCCATGCATTCGAAGCCTACCAACCCGAAAACTCCGGTTGAAAACAAGAACAACAATTGATTGGCGAACTCGTTTTCTTAAGTCTCTTTATTGAACAGCAGGTTGACTTGAAGCCATTTCAATAGTGGACAAAATCCAATAAACTGGGGTTGAAATTCCGCCAAAAGTTGTTAAAAACAGAGTACATACAAGCGCATAACCTGAAAATAGAAAATGTGATCAGGAGGAAATAAATCCAAAGTGGATGATATGAATACAACGATCAGCTTGGCCAAGCCAGCAAAAGATTGAACAAAGTTCGTGTGTGTGTGTGAAAGGCGTCGAGTTAGTGAGGTTACCCGTCTGACGAAATATGAAAAGTGGATATCTGGACCTGAACAAACAGATGAATAGCGACTCTCACACGTACCATATCGTTGTCCCAACGCCACCCAACAGTACTCGATGGGGACTCAGACGACCTAATTAGTCATCATCGTCATCCGACGGGACAAATATATCCATCTCCTCCAATAAGGCAGCACCTTCTCTACTGATGTAGGCTCCGAGACAAATAAAAGGTAGTCCCATGGCCAAAGACCGAAGAATCCCGAAACGCATTTTTTCCGGTCTTTCACGGAGTGCTCCACTGGGTCGGTGAGCCCCAGCATATGCGGTTGAAAACGTAAACTTGCTCAGTCGAGTTACGATCCCGCAGGATGGCAGGAGTCGCATCAGCATTGGAAATGGCGAAGGGTTGAGTGAGAAGGCAGACACCCAATGCTGTGGGGAAAACAAAAGTGTCAAGGAGGAGAGTAACCAAATATTCGGAATGCTAAAGTGATCTCGCCTAGATCCAGGCTGATGACTAAGGCTACAGTGAAAATAAAATAAATAAACCGTTCAGCTGTAACACCCTTCCAGTGCCTAGCCGCCATGCTACCCGAAGGAAGCACGGGGGCTGGGACACTGTCAGGTTGCCCAAGCCTAGACAGGGGAAGTCGAGAGGCAGAGGTCGGGTTCGAACCTGTCCGGATCTTCCGGGCAGTAAATTCGCGGTCTAACCACTTGAGCCATCTCTCCCAAGGCTACAGTTGTCATTGAAGAAGACATTTTAAGGGTATGCTGTGGGAATTTCATATCAGAACACCTCATTATGATCAGAGGTAGGTGCGTCGAAAGACATTTGCGAAGCCGTGCTTTGCATCCTTCTACGATACTCCAAAGCGATCTGCGTATACGTGGTTTGCCGTTGGGTTGTCTTCGCATAGAGACACTCAGCTTCCGCTGTGGGCTAGCTGCAAAAACTAGCCACCGCACATCAAAGTACATAAACTGGATTGTGCAAGGGACACGTCGAGCCCCACTTTACGATAGCAGAGAATACCTGTGGCACACAAGCCCAAAAGACAAGCTGGGACTCTACCCATCACTGTGTTCTGGTACAAATAAAAACAATTCAAAATAATCACATTTTTCAATGCCAGAACATTGATGAATATTTCCAACGAGTGAGAAATCTGAGACTCCGATGCGTCTGGCTTATTAGGGTGCCGTCACGAAGAGACTGGACCTTACCGTGGTGTGACGGTTTGCGCACCTCAGCGATCCTTTGAGCTATACTGGAGAGTGTCCCGCGACACTCACAGTCTCTCACACCAGGTTAGTCAATGGTTAGAGGTCTGACGAACACAGTCTCCTGGCCCTCCAGGTTGGGGGTTGGAACATGTGGCGAATTGTTCCGTAGAAATGGTAATGCAGTTGCATTTCCCGCCAAACAACGCTGCCTTGCGCTTAGGCTTTTGAGCCAAAGGCTTTGGTTGAGGACCCTAATCGTCCTCCTGTCTAGGTGTGGGCGCCCTGGCAGTACCCCAGCCCACGTACAACCATGAACTGCACATACACAAATAAACTCATACCACATCGGCCGTCGAGTGGTGCCATCAGCTGGGTCGCCTTACTTGCTGCATACAGCAGGGCGGGTAAGCGAAAACAGGCTACTGATGACGCCTCCCTTCTTTCTCCTTCACATACTTTTTCTCCCCCCTCTCCCAACCCCATTAATAACTCTCTCCTTGCAGGCCCAGGACTTAGGACTGATGACTCCGTTCGTCATACATCGGTTTTGCGTGCAGCATCTGCTCGTCACATGGCGCCGACATCTTCAGGTATCTCCAAATCAGTCCTCAAGCCTCGACACGCATTCTATCTGACTGCGTTTAATGTCCGCACCCTGAAGCAAACAGGACAACAACCTGCTCTTGCACTCACACTGGACTCGCTTGGCATTGATGTGTGCTGTGTCTCAGAAACGAGAATTCAAGAT